CCTGTATTGCTTGCTCCATAGCCCAGATCTCTCTTATTAGTTATGCGATCTTGACATTGGTTCCAAGTGGTTCACCTTCCAGAAAATCTCAACGGAGATGCAAATTCGACTTGTGTTCTCTAGACGTTGTTCTTTTTCTCTTGGGTCATCAAAGCAGTTCATGACTGCGGTTATGTCAAAAGCTTTGACACATGAATTCACTAGGGATCATCGCCACCACTACTGTGAAATGTTTGGGTTTGGACGGCCTTTGTAGCAGCGACTCTAGCAGCATTCGCTGCTCGGTTTGCAACCATCACTGCTCTGTTCACTCTCTCTTCCACTTTCACGACTTCACGTGCTTTCTCGGCTGCTTTCCTTGCTTGCTGTTGAACAAAGAGCGACGTAAGGATCAAATATCATATGTGGGTCATCAAATTATTTGTAAACAACCATGGTAAGATCGTATGCCAACAATTTGGATGCAAATGAATTTTCAAATTCACGATGGTATCTCTACACTTCTACAGACCTAACTATGTATATATAATTAAAATTATAAGTTACCTGGACAGTGTCAAGAACCTTCGAATGACTGATCGAAAAYGACGAATCAGGACGGGTGGTCTGCTCGGTAGGACAACTGAGAACACCATCTTCCCAATGGCCTGCCTGTGTCTCACCATTCCTAAATGTGTACATACCAAGCCCTTGTCTTCTCCCCTCGTGCCAGGCACCTTCATACCGATGTCCGTTTCCAAATTGATACACTCCAAAACCATGCATCCTGTCTGCAAAATACTCTCCAGCATATGTATCACCATTTCTGTAACAAATATATGGCTTCAAGTCAGGCAGGTATCACTTAGAAGAGAAAACAGTGACTGATGCAATTGTTTTACGATCAATGCTCAAGTCAGCAACAAAAAAGCTTGAGCCTTGATGCTCCCTAGACTATAAGTCTATAACCACCGCAAGAGGGGAAGACAGCCAACATCAAAACTTTGATTCAAAAGTAAAATAGAACTATAAGCTCAATTTTATCAGAAGGTGCTATCTCAAGCAATAATCAATGGCAGACAGTAACAGTTTAGCTTAAACATTTGATATTTTCCACAAAAGCTCAAGAACACCAACAATAGAGGGTAAAGGCAGCCTAATTCCATTGAAAGCACTATACTTTTAGAACACTCCCACGAGTAACATAGACATGAACCTCAATACAGCATCATAAGTCAAAGCACAATTAGAGCCTTAACAAGAAAGTCGAGACTGAAAGCCAGAAAGTTTTAGAATCTACAGTTCCAAACCTATCAGCCTATCACATTAAAAGTCAGTAGCTTGGAGCTAAAGGTTCACCCTTATATCGAACAGCTAAACCATTTCTACAAAGTTAAATGACTCTGCAGTGTTCAATCCAAGACTTCTTCACTTTGGCATGATAATCAATGATAAGAACACAAAACAACGCAAAGTCACAACTGATGATTTCTCACCTGAAATGGTAATGACCAAGGCCATGCTTAACACCCCATTTGAATTCTCCAACAAATCGACTACCATCTTCAGAGGTATATACACCACATCCATGGCTCTGTCCATTAGACCACTCACCAGCATATACATCCCCTGTATAAAATCTGTAGATTCCAGTTCCATGCCTCATTCCTTGTCTGTATTGACCTCGATACCTACTTCCTTTAGCCCATGTTTCTACTCCATAACCATCATATTTCCCATCAATCCAATCACCTTCGTATTTACCCTTCATTGAATAGTAATACACTCCACTTCCTGAGCACTTCCCCTTATGAAACTCTCCCTCGTATACATCACCGGAGCTATACTTTTGAACCCAAGAGCCAGAATTAGTCTTCTTCTCTGTAACGGGCTTCGAACCAATCGACCACACAACGTGTTTCGTGCTTTGCTGAGACGATGAGGAGGATCTAGTTGGGCTAAGCTTGAGAGGAAGCAATCGAGCGATAATCAAGCGAATTGATGGTAGGTGAGGAAGAGCGAATTTGAGAGAGATCGAAAAGATGAAGGATAAACCGATAATCGCGAAGACGAAGAGAAGGAAGAATCGGAAGCTAATCAAGAGGAAGAAGACGTAAAGAGGAGGAACAGAGAGAAGAAGTAAGAAACGAAGATGGAAACAAATCAATCGAACACGAAGAACATGTCGAAGAAGCTTCTGATTAGTCGCTGATGGAATCGATGGTAGAGACGAAGACAGAAACGACAAAATATACGACGGACAGTACGAAGAAATCGAACCCAAGCTTCCGCGATGTCTTCCTCTTCCTCCTCCTCCACGGCGGAAATCGTCAACGTTGGGGACGAAATCAAACGGATTAGAAGATCGAGCCACCACAGGTCTCTTATGAGGCGAATCTGGAATTTCAACGGTGAGATGACTCTGAGCTTGAACTTGATTATACAGAGTGAATCCAGGACCTTCACCAATGGCGGTTCTATATGAAGATTTGTCTGATGTACGAATTTCAGGTACCTGAAGAGGACGATGATGTTTAATCTTAGGTTTTGGATCCAAATCGGAAGATGATAAACAACCGGCGGCTTCTTTTCCGATATACCGCCGTTCTGCTACAGTTGATTTCTTCAGATGCATTTACATACAGAAATCTGGAATTTGGAAGAAGAAAGGTGAAATTTTGAGATTAGGGTTCTTCAACAAATTAGGGTTTTCTTTTGATCTTGCTTTTTTGTTGTTCCTTTAAACTGTGTTCTAGGTTTTGTTTTCTCTTTTTTTTTCTGGAATGATGAAGAACGAGCACAGTTTTGAAGCTAAGGTAAGGAAGGTTATTAAATTAAGGCCCACATATTTCAGTTTATTTACCGATATTGCCATTCGTCCCCACTTGTTCTTTAAGGATAATTTAATGTGATTAGTTTAATCTCTCTCGTCATTAATCAGAAAGTATTATTCTCTAAGATACCAAAAGACGCTCTTTTAGACTTTTTGGTTGTACAATAATTAAAACTAATACGTAGCGATTCAATGTTCAAACATTAATACCGTACATAAAATTTTAACTTCAGGTGTTTAACTCTCATATTAAATAACTCTATTTTAGGTGATAATTATGTCAATAGCTTGTAAAAGTGGCAAACAAATGGAAAGTTTATTTTATCTTATCTGGAAATTTTTGTTTGAATTGAGACTAAATACAAGGATTTTTACAATTGTACGGTCTGATTTCTACGTGTCCGCCATTAGCGTGACAAGCATGAATCTTTTGATGTTTTTTATTGTTATAATTATCTTGTTAAGCAAACTAAAGTTTTTAAATATGGCTATGTATGTATATTTAAATGTGTTAAAAGTTTGAACTATGAACTATTTAAAATTAGATTAGAGTAAACAGGTTGGACCCGATAACCATATAATAACTTTTCGATATTTGTATTTTTCTTCAAACTTTAATTTAAATAATAAATTATCTAATCTAATCGTTCACATGAACATATAATCAACTTTAGCCTTGTTTTGATTATCACCGTAGTGCATTTCTTTGGATAAAATTCAAAAAGGAAGGTCATATAATACAAGCAACATTTAATCTAGTTTATTGGATAATATAAGAAAAACTTTACTCGTAGACTCATATACTTAAACTAAAAAGTCCAACTATGATTAGGATGGAATTTCAACTCCATAAATTTATAACCATTCACTATAGCTGTAAACAATAGATCTTAGGAATAAGTAACCTATTTAAGTAGTATAACATAGAAAAGTCTTAATTAGTAATTAAAAGATCACAACAGTTAACAAATAAAGTTTTGGAAGAAGAGAAAAAGTCATCAATGGTTTTATAATGATAACTAATAATATACATGAAATATTTAAGATTCAAAGTCATCAATAGATTAGTTTATCGGATTGATAATTCTTGTTTCCTTCCAGTGCACGTAAAGAAATATTACCACAAGGGGTAGTATCGTAATAACACGAAGATAGAAGGATAGATGAGTCACCTGATTGTTTTGAGCTGCTAATCTACGGCCACGTGTCAGCTATATCCCCGATAGCCTCGAGAGGATAGAAACGACATCGTTCGAGACGATCCAATCGAGTGTGAGGGATAAGTTTTTTGGCAACTTGACTTTGTAATTTCCATATTTTATAATCATCCAAAAGTGCAAGTCTCTATCCTTTTTGATGGGCTCCCAAACGCATCTTTCCAATCTAGATAATTGTTATCTATATTCAGACAAAGCCATGTAAATGTATAAAATATATGGATTTTGGAATAATAGAAGAGTAATAAAGCAGAACAAAACGAAGATAAGATTAATAAGTGTGGTTAATATATAGTCTATAAAAATATCTAACATTATCTGTCAATTTATATTCTATGAAAATATCCCAATCAATAAACTTTAGTTAAACATTTCGTAATACAGTTTTTTATGTGTCAGTGTCACTTCTTTAGTTCATTGCATTCCATTCCTTTTCACGAAAAAACTATAGTTAATCAAATTTTGTGAAAGGGAATGTTCTAAAATTATAATAATAAAGAAAAAGAAGCAAACAATAAAAACTAAAACTGAGTAAGAAAATTCGCAGTAATGTAATAAAGGTACCTTAATTAGCTTCGACAATGACGTCAATGAGATGAAAAACTTTAGTCCGACAACCTAAAACTTTTGTTTCTCTTGAATTTTGGTTTATTTTGATAAATTGCAAATTAAA